GTGATGACGTACTATACGGTGTATGAAACAACTGTTTGTATCCATCGCAATACATATTTACCTTCCGTATTTGTCTGTTCACAAGAATATAAGGGCACAGTTACTCTCTCAACACCACATATGCTGAAACCTGAGCGAAATTTAAGACATCAAAATAATTTCATGTAATTTTGCTAATGATATCACTTTTAAACAATGGGTGCGCATTGAGAGGAAGAATTGTTACGATTATTCAAATACAACATTGCACCCATGTTAATATGCATAATACTACCTCGCAAATCCTGTCGGTGAGAATAATTTTCCCTCTCTATTTGGGGCACCTGATTTGTAGCGCGCACACACTTGACTATTTGCATTTGTCGTGCCGCAATCTGCCAAATTCGGCACGTCAAATTTGAGCTTGGCCCGGTGAGACAGAATAGAATCAAATAAAGAAGAAGAATGTCAGACGTTAGTAGGGTACGTTTTGTTTTGGGTAAACGCCAGATTCCCCCGAGGTGCTCCGCTGATGAAATATGAATACAGATACACAACAGCGCTTGAATATTGATGTTGTTTGCTGCGGGCCTGAGTGGATGCTCTTTCCACATGCTCGGAGATGGCTTGAGCACACAATTTGAAACGCGACTTGTGAGAAGATGCAAAACCCTTTGCCAATAGGTAGTAAAATCGCAATGGACCAAAAATTGAAAAATGAGCCTTGGAGTCAGTTGCCCTCCTTACATCCGCGACCGCACACCATTTTATGCACTACCTGGAATTATTTTCGATACTGCACATAATGAAACTACATTGAAAACAAGTCTTGGCCACCTGGGGGCAGCATAAGGATACCTACAGAAGAGACGTCTCAACGCCTCAGGAGGCTGCAGTCGTCGTTCTCCGCCGGGGATAAAGAATATATGCATGTGATTATCATTTTATATTGCTTCGTGGTTTGTGTTCAAATATCTGTTGCTGAAAGGGCCGCTTTGCGCTGGCACCGGCCCACTCCTGGCTTGCAAAATGTTGATACGGGTACAAGCAAATAATTAATTTCATGATGGAGACATTGGCAGTGTCGCACTTTACATTGCTGCCTTTTCCTAGCATCTGAAAGCATTTGACTTTTGGAAGCAACAACACGCTGGCACGTCAGCTTGGCCAGGACGCCGACATCCAAGTGCAATGGGAGCTGCGCTCCTCTTGTCTCATTCGTAATTGAACGACATAGGATGGAGATCTCAGACATCATTTACGCCACAATCAAGTCTTATTTGCCCATCATTTTTGAGGAACAAAATGTGAGTCACACTCAGTCACGTCGAGAAACAAAAGCTCTTTTAATCCAGTGATATGCTCGAGCCTCAAGATGTCTCTGGTACCTGCGTAGTCGGCCTTGAGACCTGAGACCTGAAAGACCGATGTGTTGCCCACGCGGCGTTGGTCTTGAGTGACCACGGTTTCATTCCAACATACACGCAGAGACTCAAATGTGCAAAACCGGCCGTAAAAATCATGAAGAGCTGGAGTGATGAAGCAAAGCTGGCAGTACACGAATGTTTGGACCAATCTTTTATCAACTTTGTCAAAGAGGGGCCGCCTTCAGAGAAGCGGAGACACTCCACCCGGCCCTGAAGACATCTTGATCTAATGCTGCTTGTGGAGCCAGAAACTCATTGTCCTCGGCTTGTCGGGATGGTCTCCCTCCTGCCTGAAAAATCTGCACTGACCAGCTGGCTCCGGTCTTCCCGCAGATCTTCAACAGATCCTTGGAGCCGTGTGAGGTCCAATGCAGCACCATCATCTAAGTCTCCAAGAAACCTGCAACATCGGGACTAAACTACAACAGACCTGTCATTCTGACATCTCTGGTGAGGAAATCCTTAGAACTTATGGTGGTGCTGGACCACCTCCAGACCATCACTGGATGACACAGTCAAATTGGGGCGGCACTTCATCCTGGAGCACCTCGATGGTGTCGGGGATCAACACAAGGGTCCTGTTTGTGGACCCGGAACTCGTCTCCAAGCTTCTCTCGCTCAGTGTGTCTCCTGCCATCTGCCAATGGCGGGACCTGAAGCGGGAGGCCAACTTGAAACGGTGTCGCTACTTGATGATTCTCGGGCCTCGTTTGCACAGTTGTCAATGGGTGGTACGACAGCGCAGATGGTATCCCCCCTTGCATTACGGAAAGTCTTTCTCTACATATCTGTCATGTCTTTGTTGATCGAAGTTGCTTGATACGGCAATGCTAGTGCAGCTCATACGAACGGAGACAAACTCCTTGCGTGTTTTACAGACTTGGCCAAGAAAGACGATTCAGAATCTGATTGAGGTGCACCTGCAACATCTCCGCTGCCAGCATTTTAATTCTTCGAGCCACTTTGGCGTCACCTGCTCCCGCTTTAAACTCTAAATTTCCCGGGGTGCTTCATGGCCGCTCTCTCGGAAGGTCTCCCATCCGGATTGCGGCGGAGAGAAAAGAAGGCAGAACTCAAGAGGGTTCAAAAGATACGGGTATAATACGATTTTTTTTACTTTTTCATTTAAGAATTAGACGAACATGAAATGTGGAAAAAGTCACATGACCTTGGCAATGTTCCAGATGCGCATGTAGAAGGCCAGGCAAGGGAAAACAGCTTTGTTTAAATAGCGCATTTCCTACACAATGTGCTTCACGCAGTTACAAAACAACATTCAATGGCAGGATTTTAAATGTCAAGCATAAATAACATTTAACGGCAAATTAATTGAAGACTTCCATCCATTACCCGAGCCCCTTATCCCTTTGAGGTTTCGGACTTGATCTTTAGTCTTTGACCGTGTTCACTAATAGCAATCCTTTTTTTTTTTTTTTTTATTGCCAAAAAACAATGACCTCAGTTTTGTTTTGGTTACCTGAAGAAAACTTTGGTTCATCCAGTTATTAACTTGCTTTGGACAGTGACACAGCACCTTAATTGAACTGCGTATCATCTGCAAAGCCAAGAATGTCAACTTTGGCGGACTGAAGAATTTGACCCAAAGGTCGAAAATACAGGCTGAACAAAAAGGGTTCCAAGGACTGAACCTTGAGGGACACCACATGTCATGGCTGTTTGATCAGATTTCACAAAACAACTCCTTTCCTCCAAGTACGACCTGAACCATTTTAGGACCGTTTCGTTTCATCCTGTTGTTGAAATGTGAAGAGATCATGAAATCATCTTTTAGATAAGGTTTAGGAAAGCCTTAAAGGTGACGCAGTGGAGAGACAGTTATTGCAAGCCCCCCCCCTCCAAAAAACAAACCCTCTCCTAAAAGATAGCCCGTTTGTTTGGAAAGAATGTAATTAGGACAACAATATGGGCCCTTAATCCCAGCAGTGTGCAGATGGAGCGATAACACAGCTCAGTGTGTCCTCTGTCATCTTAAAAAGGTGTGCCGGAGCTGATAACAAGTGACAGACTGCACTAAATCACAAATGCCGCACTTGGCTGGCACGCTAAGAGCCCGAGATGATTACACACTACACCTGCACGACAACAATAAAGATATTACTCCGGCTATCCTTTTCACACAGACGGATCTCAAAAGTGACAAGTTGAAAATGAACTCGTATGAAAAAGGGGTTGGGGTAATTCGCCACAGTGTGGCGCTTCTCAGTCTCAGACAAACTAAAGTGGCTGGGTTTTTTTTTTTTGTCAAATAGTAAAACACATGCACGCAGCGTCACAAATGAAAAACAGTCCGCTTTTCCCCAGACGGCATCCTTTTGGCCCTAATGTGCCTGTTGCCACAGCAACAGCGCACCGTTCTCAAAGCGGAGGTGCACCGAACATGCGCACGGAGAGACAAACACACACCACCCGCCCCGCCGCAACCCGTCGTCAGTCTCGGCGCTTCCTCGTGCCTTCAGTCCCGTCTGGGATGTGCATGGCGGTTTTTCGAATGATGCGGTGACTGGAGACGGGGTGGGGACGGTCTCACCTCCTCAGTAACCTGCAGTAATATGTCGTTCTTCAAAGAGGATAAAGAATATATACAATATACAATACATATAGATATGAAGTATATAAATATCTGTCGCTTAAAGGATTACAAAATTGATGCTAGTGTCATTCGCACAGGTATAGCATGTTAGATTGTTTGTTAGCATTAAGCTAGCTGATGTACTTTGATTAAAAACATGTCAATGTCTTTGTTTAGCTTGAGCGTTAACTTCAACCAGGAGCGGCACTGAACATCTTGAAGCTTCTTTTTGGAATTACTGTCTGTCACACAAAGTATCTTTGCGAGACTCGTTTTATCGAATGACTTACTGGAGACAATAATAAACAAACTCCCGCAGGCGAGGGTGAAACTTCAACATGTCCATCACGGCGACAACAAAAGTCGAGGTTGTAACGGGGAGAAGGTCAGACCACTTACCGGCCGTGACGCTTCTTCCTCCAACTTCCCGTTCATCTTCCGCCTGAACGAGCGGCAAGCACGTCATTAGCCGCATGGCGGCCCGAGCGAGCTGCAAAAACGCCATCCCAGCCATCGTCGGGCGGCTGATCGATGGAGCCGCTCGTGCGACAGGCACGTTTGATTCATCCCGCCGGTGTTTAAGCAGATAACCCTGCAAGGCTGTGGAGGTGCGTCGTCATCCATCATCCGGCCGTGCGGGAATGTCCCGTCAGTCACGGGGTGGAACCATGACGTAATTAAACAGCTTTACTCCAAAAAACCCGGAATAAGGTCTGCTTTCTGACGTATATGTTAGTATTGAAAGGAAACAATTTATAAGTGAATAGGCGTATGTTTTTTTTCCCCCCTGACAAAAATGTTTTGTTTCTGCCAGAAGATGACAAATATTGTCATCTGCTCACTGCCAATCGAGAACGAAAGAGGTGGTTCTTTACTCGTCTTACGGCATAGAAATAAATGACACCGACACAGCCGCAGCGGGCTTCGTTATTTCAACTTTTATTTGTAAGTGGAGACATCAATTACAATTAGAGCTCTTGAATCACTTCCCTTTTTTTTTTTTTAAGTAGTGTTTTAGTTTTTTTTCAGTTGTGCTTCTTATCCAGTACAGGCTAAACGAGGGCAGACAAATGTAAACGTAAGATTTTTTGCGAGACATTTTGCATATGAAAGCGTAAACAAATATTTTGGTTGCTTGTAGATATACATTTCTATATAGAGATTAAAAAAAAAAAAAAAAAAAGAACACATATGACTGTCACTGACCAGTAGATGGCGTAACCCGAGAAGCAAACAATTTCTTTTGATGACCTGGCGTGCGGAGGTTGGCGAGGATGAGCCGGAGTTCGGGTTGACGCGGCGGCGGCGGCGAGAGCCGATCGGACTGACGGGGTAGAAAGCGGGCGGGGCCACGGGTGTTTGAATTTACCACCGGCGCAAAGTGATCACCTCCACACAGCTTAACGTATCGGGTCGACAGATTTGCCAAGCGTTCAAGTGCTCGTGTTTGGCAACAAAAGAACGCTTCCGTGTTTGTCAAGATGTCGTCTCATTTCGGAGCCGTTTTTTTTTTTTTTTTTTTAAACTTCTGGAGGTGCAGCATGGTGGGTGCCGCTTGGAAATTTGCTTGCACACACACAATTAGGCTAATTTATGCCAGGGCACACGAAGAATCGGAGCCGCGCCACTGCTGCCGGGGCTCTCTTATTAGTCCGGCTAATTTCACATCACTTGACAGAGTATTAATGAAGAAATTAATCAGTGGAGCTTCATGGGGGGACGGGGGGGGGAACACAGCTGGGACTGCCTCACGTCAACGCATCGTCTCGTTCGCGCCTCGCGAAGCCTTTACTCCGACGTGATGTGGAGTAACGACCGCTCGCTGATATTACTGATACAGTAACACGACTTCCGCCGTAACGCCAAACTGGAATATCACCACCGCCCCCGACCCCCCGCAAAAATTAGTTTTGACTTCCCGACTGGCTCACACATTCCCAGAATGCACTTGACATGAAAGCATAATCATTAAAAATTACCACCCTGGCGCCTTCACACTCGTCCTGCGAACTTTCCAAGATTGACGTGAAGGGAATGAGTCGAGCCGATGACACGAAGCGACGCCTACTCGAGGCGTGTTATCGGAGCACGTCGTCGCAACGCTACCTTAAGTTAGCGTTGCGCGTGTTTCCGTTCGTTTAACGCTGGGACGACCATTATTATGAAATTATTCGACGCGCCACTTTGACAGCTGGCGCTCTGACAATCCTCGACGAAAATGATTAAGATTTGCGGCGCCAGTGTCTCATAAAGTTGACTAAAATTCTGTTGTGATCTTTGAACGTAAATCAAGTCATAAAAAGGAATGAGAAACGGTCGGCGGAGCGCCAAATGTCCCGTGCGGCGGCCACACTGCATGCGGCTCAGCTGCTACCAAATATATTCGTTCGGTGCCAAAGGAAAGGAGACGCGGCTCGCCAAAGACGTGACTGCACTTCACTTCGAAGAAGAGGAAGAAAATCGGAAGTAAGGCACACAAAACAACTCCAGCGCACCCCGCAATTCTTTTTTTTTCGTGGGGGAATGATGTCAACAAGCACCAGAGAAGCATTCATGTTTTGATTTCGACTGCCTGGCATGTACTGCCAACAATGTCATGACTATCACATCTATTTTAGCACACGCTACACGGCTCCTTTTTTTTTTTTTTTTTAAACTCGGACTCGCTCTGTGTCAGCCGAGCAATTCATCCTCAGACCCGGAAATATTGTTGAAGCGGATGTAATGCCTCCTCTCCTTCAGAAGATTTTTTTTTTTTTAAATAGATTACGGTGACCAGCAGCTTTCCTCAATGCAGCCGCCGCGCCGCCGTTTGTGGTGGAAACCAGGCCGTGCTGACCATGGGAACGAAATATGCACAGAATGAGGAAAAGTCAAGAGGCCGGGAGCATCGTCAAGCTATCTACGCAGAGTAATACCACATTAAAGTTTGAAAAGTGTCCAAAATGACGGCTCTGGTAGTCCTACTGTTCAGGCCAGCGATGGAATGTAGCTCAAGCGAAACTAGTCCACGTCCTGGACAAAGACTAAATAATCACTATTTCACATTGGCATATGTTATTGTGCGTTTCTATTCTACCTCCTTGCTATGTGTAGATGCCTCCCCCAAAAATAAAGCCCACCCCCCACCCCCCCATGCACCTCACTTGCAGCAAACTATACAGAAGGCCCTGCCCACCCACCGACTCTCCGCCCTCTCACTTTACTCCTCGATCTCCAGGATCAGGTCGTCGCCCTCCAGGGAGGAGTCGGTCACGGCGTGCACTGCCTTGATGGTGCCCGACAGCGGCGAGTTGACCACGGTTTCCATTTTCATGGCGGAGAGGACGCACAGGGGCTGACCCTTTTCCACCTGCGAAGGGCGTCAGAATTGGAAAAAAAAAATAAATTACTTGCACTTTGTACTTTAGTAGAATTACAGATGCTTTTGTATAAAAAAAAAAAAAAAGTCCCGACTTAACACCTTGACTTCAGTGTAAGTAAAAAAAAAAAAAAAAAATTGGCTAAAAGTATAAAACTAAAAATGTATTTTCACTCTCATTAACCACCGCCCTCCCATAAGTGAAACCTTGATTTTCAATCTTCGAGCTAAAATACACTCAGCTGTGATTGCCGTGGTAACAGTGAGCGGTGTTTTGTGATATGGGCATTATGTGCGGGGACACACACACACACACACACACACACACACACACACACACACACACACACACACACACACACACACACACACAAAATTGCTTTGTGAAATAGTTCTCCATTGTGTAATGGCGTGACATGTCAATCATTGGTCATTGTGCTGCCGGTGTGTGACTGTGTGGGAAGAACAAAGTCACATTTCACCGTTGAGTGGCGCCAGTTTGGAATCGGGGAGAAGCGTTTGTCAAGGAAAAGACGGGACTTGGCGCTTTCACAACGTTCACTACTTTTCCGTAACCGGTTTAAGTGGAGGGAACCCTGTTGTTTGAGCCACCAAAACTTAACCTGGACCATGCGGAGTGATTGTGACTGCTAACTGTTCAACGTAATTTTCCTGCTAGCATAAACATTTGCCAGCCAATGTTCCCTCTCATTTATTTGTTCTTGAAGTTCACACCAGATGGAAGTTCTTGAATTTTCATGTCGCGGGTGTGGAGAGTCAAAAAGTCAATTTGAGTGTGTCCGTGAATAAGGGTGGTTTCTGTCGCTTAGCTTTAGCAACATTAGCATGAGAGTGGAAGAACTTTGAGCCTTTCATTCAATTCAAAGGTATAGCGGAGATACCTGAAAAATCAACTTCAGCATAGTCAGAAATGACTTTGTGTGTGACAAGCGCTGACCTTGTCGCCCACTTCCACTTTGACCTCCAGCACTTTTCCGGGCATGGGCGCGCCCACCTGACCCTTGATGGACTTCTGAGCCTTGGGATGGAACTTCATCTCCTGGAAGGAGCAGATTTCAGGCATCCGTCATTGGTACAAGTGTGCGTACAGGTGTGAGGAGAAATAGAACGTCGTCATCATCGCAAAGCTCCCTCGCCATGAATACGCGTGCGTCCTCGTTGTTGACTTGGTGCGATTCATCCTCCTTTCGATCATTCATCCATCCAACACAGCTCTCCTCTCATTCTGTTTTCGGCGCATTCCATCACGTCGTACCTTCATGGCCACCGTGTCTTTCACCAGCACGGATCTGAGCTGCCCGTTGAGCTCGAAGAAGACTTCCCTCTGGCCGGCCTTGTTCAGGTCACCCAGGGCCAGCGCCTTAATGTGCAGGATCTTGCCCCTCTCCAGCTCCACCTGCGGGCCGGGGGCCAAAAATTAAAACATCGCCGGACAGAAGAACTTGGGGAAAAAAAAAATGCTCTAACTTGACATGGCCGCGCCAATCTCATCCCATCGGTGTTGCTGGGATGCCTTGCCTGCCGCGGCTCATCAAACCGACAGACCAATTAAAGCGCAACGTGTCACTCACGGAAGCCGTCACACTGGCATCAACTCGCGCGAGAGGCTGCGGCTTGAGCAGCCCCCCTCATTGTTATTCTGCGTTTGTGAGGCGCCAAATGAAACCTCTCATTTGATTGCTTTTCTTTTCGACACAGTCAAGTGCAACGTGCAAAGCAGCCGGCCTGTAATTTCTCTTCCTTGCTTAAACAATCAAGTAGCGCGCCATAATGTTCATAAGATCCTTTTAGTGTGTGTCGAGCCTCCTCCGGCGCAAAGCTAACGACACGTTAAGCTCTCATGGCGTCTCCGACGCAAAACGGGTTTCACACTAGACTCGAGGCGACTTTATTAATAACGCGTCCTGGAATGAGATCACATGCGTGCGTTTGTGTGTGTGTGTTGGTGTCAGCAACTATGTGATGTGACAGCACGTGTATGTTGGAGTCCGTTTTGGTGCAAATCTAAGTTTACATTCCTGTCACACACAATTAAAAAGAGACTGAATCACCAGCACAAGGCGGCCAAGGCGAGGTTTTTATTAGCCCCGTGTGTGGGTGAGTGACAGCAGTGTGCGTGCATGGCGTGCGCCCCAGACGCCGCCTTAAACGCTTTTTGATAAGATTCGCAAAGGACTGGAAATGAAGTGTGAGACGACGCCAGAAGGTTCCATGGCTGTCTACTTTTCCGACATGTCAACAAAATGAGGATTTGCAAACTAGCACTCATTAAGACACGGTCGATTCAATTCATTCTTTAAAGAGAAAACCATGTGAAGTGAATTCAGAGATTTGGCAGCCAGCGTGTGGACAGGGGCTGGCGTGGCCACTTTAGAGTGCCTCATTGTTGGCAGCGAATGTGCGCAAGCCAAGGTGAGAAAAAACCAAAAGTACCAGGGTGTGGGGGATTCCTAAAAAAGTCAGATTTGACAGCCTGCGCGTGAACTGGGGCATAGGGGAGGCATGGCCGCTTTCGAGCACCTCGTTGGCAACGATTGTGCGTAAGTCACGGAGAGAAAAACAAAAGCACCAGGGGCACGGGATACCGAAATAAAAAGTCTGATTTGACAACCAACGCGTAAATTGGGACATCAGGCAGGCGTGGCCGCTTTAGAGCGCCTCATTGTTCCGGGATGGGAAATCCCATTGAGCTGTACTCGCATCCACAGCATACAATATTATGATCACAATATCAACCAATCGTGATTATTACCTTGAACATTTTTTTTTTAATATATAATCTTTATACTGGCTCACTTTGGATGCCCCCCCCAAATGCCAACAAAGTCACAAGACACCAAGACAAGTATATGATTTGTTCTTCGGCAGGAGGACTGAGTGCCCTTTCTTTGCAGTGCCATTTGTCTCTTTCACAAGCCATAAAGCAACGCTTGTGAAAATGCAAAAAGTTGTCACTTTCTGATGCGCTTTCAGTCTGTCTCTCGCTACTCACCGCCGCCAATAGGATGCGATCCGGTGGGAATGTCCATTGTCACAAGAACAAAAAAGCTTCTTGTTTTCCGCAGGAGATGCAAGACTGATGGGGTAGCGCAAACGACCTTATCAAGAAAGCGTGGAAAACAAATCATAAAATCCCTGTGAATGTTTGAGTGGCATGTTAGCGGTTTGCAGTTTGGGTCAATAGCATATCTGAGCGATCGATGCAACTGTTGAATCTTTGATAACGCAGCAGCGGTGAAGTGCTGCTCCTCGGGTCCCGGGCAATATAAAAATCAATTAACACCAACCCGGAGCCTTTCTGCTGCCGTCAAATGAAACACGCTTGCCCTTGGCCGCGCACGAAAACTTGGCGTGCGCGCGCCTAACCCGTAATGAGAATCCTGATATTGTCGAAAAAGCAGAAATTATTCATCGAGGCGGATGTGAATGTGTTCATTTCACCTATGAGGACTAAATATTGTAGCAAGTGCAAAAAGGCAATGAAAGATGGATGATTGCCTGACTGGAATGAAGACACGAACTACTTTGGTAATATGAGGGGTGGTGGGGAAAGAAAAGAAAAGTCCCCTTTCTTCTTCCTCTACTCCAGCTGCCGCGGAGAGCCGGTTGCTTGTTGATGAAAGGCACTTGAGCGGCTCCACAGTCAATCGAGCTCGACGCAGGAAAAGTATGCGACGCTCTCTCTGGCCGGTCATTTATCGCCACACTCACGCTTGTCAAACGACTCATGAACCTCTCGTTACAAATAAAGAACAAATAATACCGGTCACTTCCGGTCTGCCTCAAACGTTACCTCAAACTCCTCGGCGATCTTTGGTCCATCCAGGAAGAGCCTGGTGCTCAGACAGTCCACTGGGCCAAAGTTAGCTGCAGCGGAGAATGAAGAAGAGTGAATAGATTGCATACAGCATGTGCGTGCATCAACCTGTGTGTGGGTGTGTATACATACCCATACCCACATCCACACCCACACTTCTCTCTCTCTCTCTCTCTCTCTCTCTCTCTCTCTCTCTCTCTCTCTTATTATGGTTTTGAATCCCTGGGATTAACAGGGAAAAAAAGTTGCTCCTCAAATGAAGTCATCGATGAGCAAAGATAGCTCAAAGATAGCTAGCTAGCCAGCTGGCTACTTAGCTGGCTACCTAGCTGGCTAGCTAGTTGGCTAGCTAGTTGGCTAGGTAGCTGGCTAGCTAGGTAGCTGGCTAGCTAGATAGATAGATTGAGTGACAGATACACATATATAAGGCTACATAAATTTACATATTTCTTTGAGGTGCAAGTTTGCTAATCAATGACTTCTTTTGAGGAGCAACATTTTATCCCTCTGTTAATCCCCGGGACCTGAACTATCATGATATTTTGAGAGAGGGAGAGATGGAGGAAGGGATGGACGGAGAAAGAAAGCGAGTGGGAGGGAGGGAAGCAGGGAGAGAGAATATTTTTGCTGATTTTCAGCCTCTTAGAGCAAATTGGCCCATGATTTGTTTTGTAGTATCCGTAATGATATGGGTGTCTCGAGTTAGCATATACTATACTTATCCTTTCAATTGCTGACTTTAAGGCAGACAACGAGAATGTGACGCTGTCCACGCATGATCCCAACCCACCGGTGAAGTCCTTGAATTCCTGGAACACCTTGGGGTACATGGCCGCCGACATGACGTCTTCAGGAGTGATGTCTTCGCCGTACGACGCTCGTAGCCCGTCCTCCAGCGACTTGAAGTCCATCGGCGGCAGGGAGGCACCGGGGCGGCCCTCCACGCGAGGGAGGGACTTGAGTACCTGCACAAAGAAGAGGAGTCGTTTTCCATTAAGTTTGAAAGAGGGCTGAGATGTGTGACGGCCAAAGGAAAGTCCTCGTGGGACTCGCGAGAGTTGGTGAAGTGCTAAGAGCTGGCCGGGTTCACAGCGTACTTCTCGCCTTTCCATAAAAGCTTTAACCTGCCTTTGACTTCAGAAGAGAGAGACCATCTTAAAATTTCAAAAATTGCCCCAAATTGCATGTTGCCCAAAAATACGTCAGCACACGCATTGCGGGCCTTGGCGCCAAGCTTTTAGTCACTCTACTTCAGTGGTTTGGCGGCAGCCGAGTCAATACGCGCGTCATGGCGACACTTCAAAGATGGCCGTGTCATTGAAGTCCCCGCTCATTATTGACGCCGCGTCCTCGGGAGCAAATGAAGACAAAGGCTGTTTGCTCGCTCGCTTACAATTATTAAACAGCACACTTCCATGCTCATTGTCAATGAGTTCATTCTTGGCTCTGGGCTAAAAGATGTAAATGCAGGAGAGGAACGCCATGGGTCACTTTCCCACACGGATTTTCATGGAAAACAAAATGCTGGACGGATGGCCTGTGATGGAATCCGCAAATGACCGCTCGCAAACTATTTTTGGCGTCATCAAAGAAACATGACAACGCTCCGTGCTTGGTGTGCACAAAATGCCCACAGCAGAGCGGATGATGTCACCCTGATGCGTGTGCAGCAGCAAACCAGAAATGCTTACTGACATCGACGCATTTTCGTGGAAGTTTACAGTAGGGCTCTAATTGTTCAAAATAAGCGCTTTTAAAATTGGCAAGAATTCATTTTTTTTCTTGAACGCATTACAACGTACGCAGGAGATGCTGTAATCTACGGCTCACTTGCCGACACTCACACGCAGACTCACTAACCACCCCAACAGGCCCCGCCTCTTAAAGGCACACGCAAGTACACAGACACAACAATACGTGCAGTAATTTTTTTATCCAAACATTTTAAGTGTGAAAATACATGCGTGCGTGTCGTGTGTTACCTTGGTTCTAAAGGGCTCCGGGAATCCTCCGTGAGGTATCCCAACATAGCCCTGCAGGAACTCCACCACCGACAGCGGGAAGGACAACTCGTCGGCCCTCTCCTCCACCTCGGCGCGGCTCAGGTTGTTCTGGACCATGAACTGGGCCAGGTCCCCCACGATCTTAGAGGACGGCGTCACCTGAAGGATGCGCCCGACAGTTGAGTGCCACGCGGAACACCCGCGGCGACCTCTCAGCAAGCAAAACATTCACCAACGTCACATGTTGCCTGTTGATTATTTATGACGGCGGATCATGATGTGAAATGGAGCGCTCATTTGCATAACGGCGATGAGCAGAGTTCCCGAGGACAACCTACGACAATGATAGACGTTTCAGTGGCAACCCTGCTGACGACAACCAGTAAATACCTGGAGTTGATTTTTTGTTTTGTTCAAAGAACGCCTGTTTAAAGGAATGCTCGAGGGATTGGGAGCGGCAGCTAAAATCTTCCGAGTGGCCATTACACGAGTCCCGGAAGTTAAAAAAATAAATAAATAAATAAAACGAAACCAAACTCAACCAAAAGTAGTCTGTGGCGTGACTGTGCATCCCAAGTCTCACTTTATCCAATGTTATCAGCATTTCCTCAGGCCAATCTTTGCTTATTTATTGCAAAGTAAAAGGGCCATTGCCTTTTGTTTTCTCATGCGTCTTCAAGAATCATGACTTTCTCTCGCTCTGCTTACCAGCAGCATTTGTCATCGCACTAAAACACTCCTTTTCCTCGCTTCGAGACCTATTTCTTTCAATGTTGCAATCTTTTGAAGTAATAATCCATAACATACTATCTCTCTCTCTCTCTCTCTCTCTCTCTCTCTCTCTCTCTCTCTCTCTATATATAAATTTGTGTGTGTGTGTGTGTGTGTGTGTGTGTGTGTGTGTGTGTATATATATATATACCCATCCATCCCCATCCTCAGGTACATACGCATACACTCCCTCATACACACTGATGTTATTGCACACTTTCACCTCTGCTAGGTGCTTCTGTTAATACCTCCATGCATCCTCTCCCTCCTCCTAAAACCCGTCTTGAGGGTTGTCTTCATCTTTCTCACTCCTCTGTGTGTGTGTGTGTGTGTGTGTGTGTGTGTGTGTGTGTGTGTGTGTGTGTGTGTGTGTGTGTGAGAGCGGGCATATAAACAACTCTCTCGCTTTTACAGTGTCAAGGGAGCCAGGCAGGCAAAGCGGCAGCGGTGAAGAATGGTACCTGTCACCAGAGGAGGAGACAGCAGACAGAAGCGATAACGAGACACAGGGAGAGCGAGGCGAAGTGGGGGAAACGACGCGAAGATTAGAGATACGAGCCAGGAGTCTAATCAAAATGAGGCAGAGATAGACGTGTGAGTTGAGACCAAATGGAGGCGGCGTGCAAGCGGTAGGGGATGATGGAGTGAAGCAAAAAAAAAAAAAAAAGGTGAAGACTGACAGCGGCCTTGCATGTGCAGTCCTGCAGTCGGTGGCAGAGTGTTCGACCTGAAAACGTCTGGCGGTGTGTGTGCACGCAGCCTCTCATTACACAAGCAACCCGATAGAGAGGCAGCGAGAGCTAAAACAGACAAATATGTGCACAACTCGTCGCTCTACTGCGAGGCACTTCACGGAGTGAGGAGGAAGACGCAAAATTTGAAAGAAGACGGGTCTCAACATTTGGCAATTGAAACTGGAGGCAATTTAAGGACTAAAAAAAGTTCAGTCATTGCACAGATGTATCGTCACGTACAACTTCCTGGTTTCAATATCAAGCTCGTTAGTAAATTTACTCAAACAGTGGTGAGATAAGACACACGGCGCAGTGTAATGCTAACAATGCTATTTCGTTAGCCCGTCTATTGGGTTTGCCATTATGTGTTCGCATTAAGCTGGTAAACTTAAAAGCCAAGTTATATTTGTCGGGCGCACAAAGCTGAAATGAAATCTTATCTTCATCTAAGCGTGTACTCTAAGAAAGCTTGCCACCACACGGCAAAACAGAAAAGTTAGCTTGAGGTGAGGAAAAAAAAGCAACACCGAAGGAGGGAGGATATTGTTGTCACATTCACTCGGCAAGTTCATTTTTGTGTGACTTGCGGGAAGGAAGGCAACACGTAATTGTGACTGTGTGATGTTGGGCGCGTTTCATCTCCACATCTCACCTTAATGAGGTCTCCGAGTAGCTTGTTGGCTTCGGTGTAGGCCTTCTTCACCTCCTTGAACTTATTCCCCAGGCCCATACTGTGCGCCTGCAGTCACACAACAACGACAACAGCGTGACGATTACTCGGAAATTCTGGGTCAACTTCTAATGCTTGTCGCCGACTTTCAAGGACTGGCCACAATATTAGGAACACACCCTACTTTATTTATTACTTTTTTTTAATGGATTTTCACAGGATGCACACAAGTCCGAATTGTAGTGTCGTAACACGACGCCCAGGGGGTCACTAAAGGCAACAAAAAAAAAATGTCTACACTGTCCCATAGCCAGGAAAATAATCAACTACAGCGCAAAGTGTATTTGGAGTCATGACGTGGTGGGGCTGTGCAGAGAGCTGAAAGTGTGTTTTATAATGCAGGGGTCTCAATCTTAGTACCACCATCAAAGCAACATTAAAATCCAGAAATATAGTCGTCATCAAAAATGTCATGATTTAAAATCCATTATCATAAGATACTGTAAAATTATGCACGCTTAAAAAAAAAAAAAAAATGGTGCTTAAAATTTTTATAAATGACCTAAAAAAAAATAAACTGTTTTACACACAGCAGTTAAATAAAAAAACTGTGCCAAAATAAGTGTCCCAAAACATCAAATTTTGTAAAAAGTGAAACACAACTGAAGGTGGTGATTCTTCGGCCTACCTCTAGAGGGAGCCACTGAAGCACAAGTACATTTGGAGAATTACTATTCTAATGCTTGTCTGACCTTCTGAGGTGACAATGCTCACTATGACGACGAGCGCACCCCCAAATACTGTTCAAACCGAGCCCTGTCATGTTGGTAAAGGCAGCGTTCCTCCCCGTATCGGATCACATTCGATTGTGCGGGCGTGGTGAGAAACAACTGCTCTGAAGAGGGCAAACACGTTTTCTCTTGTTTGTGTGACACATCAGCATGGCTGCTGGTGGAAAAGCCGCTCTATTATTAGACTGGCACGGCTGGGCCCGCAGGCGTACAGTGGGGCTTGTGTTGACATCGGCTCAATTTCACAGGTCGGCCGTGAGACTAAAACGCCATTTCGCTTCATTGCGCCTAGAAAAGAAAAATGGGGCAAGGTGGGGGTAGGGTGTCTATGGGGGGGCAGATGGGGACTGGACGAGAATAGCCGCGGGGCACCTGGAAGTGGAGGTTGGTGTACTGCCCTCCGGGTATCTCGTTCTCGTAGACGTCGGCGTTGCCGGACTTCATGGTGGCCGTGCAGTCGAACGGAGCGTAGAGGCCTCGAGCCACTTCCCAGTACTCGCTGTAGTCAAACACCTTCTCCAGAGCGATACCTGCAACCGCAAACCAGCTTGAAATACGTTTCCAGAAGGCAAACAGCAATGTGGTTTTGCCACTTATTAGCATTATTATTGATGTTGACTTGGGGCGGACTTTTCCAGCCTCGTGTCTGAAAGCTTAATGGCGCCTGAAATGTTCAATGACGGAGCAGGAGGTAGAAGTCGGCGCCGCTGTTTATTTGTGTCTGCTTGGTTCGACTCCTCCGCGCATCCATCACGGCGCCGACGCGGTACCTTTGACGCGGGCCACGCACATCAGTCACAGCGGTGTCGATAGAAACGCGACTCGAAAGAGCACACCACGGAATGAACACATGCACACGCACAGAGCTTCCACACATTTTTGTGGAGCAAACCGCCGAAGGAGAGCCAAAGTTTAAAACAAAACGTCAGGGGCATGTGAACACAAGTATTTTTTATAACATCGTAATCAAATGCCTTTTGGGCTGCTATCCACAACCAAACTCGATCGAAAGGACACTGAGAGGACTTTTGGAAAACTCAGAGTGCATTGTGCAGTATGTAGTGCAATATTCATACGTATATATTCTTTATCCTCAGCAATGAACAAGTAATATTACTGTGGCTCACTGAGGAAAAAAAAAAAAAAAAAAAGCCTGCCTCCATGTATTTCCATATGTCTTCATTATAGTGCCCCCCCAGTGGCCATGGTGCATTCGCCAGAAGGAGCAGCACAATGACCATCGCATAGAAGCAAAAAAAAAAAAATTTTTTTTTAAATTATCACCAAATCTGTTTAATTTTGTACATTCTATTTAATGGCGTCATTAATGTGTGCTTTTTTTTTTAAGAGAATGATGAAGTGGTACTTTCACAAATAACACTTCTATTAACAACTTCCATTTTTCAAAGGCTGGAAAAGAGATTCATTTTAATGTTATGAGAAAATTTAGCATAATATTATGATATTTAAGTCAACATTTAACAAGATACAAATTCCTCCTTGTAATACAACAGTTTTTATTCTGGACCGGATGCTTTTAATCTCTACAAAAAAAAAAAGAAAGACTAAAAGAAAAAAAGGGCGGGTGTATGCACTGCTTTCCATAATAATTGGCCCCGCGGGTTAAAATGTGTTAAAAGTGAACTGCTAAAAATGAATTCAAGTTTTATTTCAGAAGCATACTCCCTGAGTGACAATTTTAGGTTCACCACAGACACAAAATTTCAGTCCCCAGACCCCACCCCATTGAAAACATGCAAAAGGGGCTCAAAAAATGTGCAAAGAGGAATGGTCCAAAATCCCTCTTGTGCAGTCTTCCATCTTGCAAAATATTAAAGGAGAAGCAGCCGAAAATAGCCGTACGTGTTGTTGTGTGTGCAGATGTGCCACGTGCGCTCTTGACGGCGCATCCTCAAATGGCTGCGCTCTCCTGGCAGCTGTTATTAACAAAATCAAAGGAAGAGCAACAAACGGAGGCGTTGCCAAAAAAAAAAAAAAAAATAATAATGTCAGCCCCCCCAAGTGTGCCAGTGATTGAATGAGGAGACAAATGGATTAACAGTCACTTATCACCACAAACAAATAGTGATGGTAGTGCTTGCCAAAGAGGTGGAACGTCAAATGTGTATGGAAAGTGCTTTTAATTGCTATGCCACTGAGGAGGAGGAGGAGGATGGAGAGACCATGTGAGAGAGGAAGCCGAGCTCGCAGAAAACTACTCATTATTGCTTGGGAGCCCAGATGGGCAAAAAAAAAAAGGGGGGGGGGAGTGGGTAGTGGGAGGTGATGAACAGAGTCTAAGGTCAGGAATGCGATGGAACATTTTGAAGCATCCAAGGCCGCGCTGTTTGGTGAGAATGAAAAGACGAGCGTGGCAGAGGCCTTCAGAAGAAGAGCAGAGCACACACAAGTTGACGAGTTTGACGGAAATTCAAAATCTTTTCTTATGGAATATAATAAAAGAAATTTGCTTCTGGATATTAAAGCTAATGAGACAAGTAATAGAGACTGAAGACTTTTGCCCCCCCCCCCGCCCCCCTCCAATTTTTCAAGCCATGTAGCTCATTCAGTTGGTTTTATTGAAAATAAGTAATATTGGAGAAATAGCTGATTGCATTGTGATTCCCCCTTTGCTCTTTCACCTTCTCTCAGTGACATGCACACTCTCACTGCACACAACGAGGCACTCTAAAAACCTTCCCACGCAGTCCAAAGCCCTGGCTATCAAGTCAGATTAAAAAAAAAAAGAAAAAAGAAACGCCTCCTCACGCTTCCGATGTTCTCTGCGTGACTTACACTCGCAGCCAACAACAAGGCACTCTAAAGCAGCCCCGTCAGCAGACTATTCAAAAGGAAGAGAGGTTCTGGGAGTGTCGACATTGCTAGCCATCTTCGTGTATGTCGCAATTGCAGCGGATAAACAAAGTGCACCATCTGGCGCCATGTAAGCTACCCCCCCCCCCCACCAAAATAGGAAAAACTGAAATGGTGAAAAACAGTGGCGGCCCGGTGGTTGAGTGGTTATAGCGTCAACCTCACAGTGCAGAGGTCCCAGGTTCGATTCCAGCTACGGCCTTCCTGTGTGGAGTTTGCATGTTCTCCCCGTGCTTGCGTGGGTTTTCTCCGGGTACTCCGGTTTCCTCCCACATTCCAAAAACATGCACGGCAGGCTGATTGAACACTTGAAATTGTCCCTAGGTGTGAGTGTGAGCACGGATAATTGTTCATCTCTGTGTGCCCTGCGATTAGCTGGCAACCGGTTCAGGGTGTCCCCCGCCTACTGCCCGAAGACAGCTGGGATAGGCTCCGGCACCTCCCGCGACCCTCGTGAGGATAAAGCGGATCAGAAAATTGGATGGACGGAGGGTGAAACAGGGTGAACAGTTTTGTGCTAAATCTCCATCAGTGAGCAGTTATCTTCAAACACGCATAACGTATTTCGAAACAAATCTGTCAATTCACTTTATAAGGCCTTGTAATATATTGTCCCACTGTCGTGCTATGACAATCAAACTTTATTTAACGGCATTTTAGATCCTTCCAGGCACAACTTAAAATCATTCCATTAACGAAGCCAGCCAACGTCTTTATTATTGATCACTTGTGCGGCTCCGGCACTCTCCTCCTCGTTTGCTTCCTCTCATAATTGGCCGAATATCATCAAGTCCGACGCGCCGTTGTGTTTGCGACTTTCAATAAGTAACGTTGCTGTCATTTATTGATTGGCGGTGTCGGGAAGGACGCTCGCAACACGCAAATCACTGCCGGCCCCGGCATGTTCCGGACCATTAATAACAGCCCTCCAAGATCTATATCCTACACAACACGCTCGCTTTTATTTCGGTGGCACTTCTCTTTTGAGGGACAGAAACATGCTTACCGGTGTCCAACTCGGTGCCTTTGGCGCAGGCCACCATTGCTCCCATGCTGGGTTGGGACGTCATGCCGGCCATCGAGTCAACCTGGGGGTCCCCAAACGGCAGAGTTGGTGTGTGACAGAAACAAAAATAACAGCAAAGGAAATTATCTCCCCCCCCCCCCAATGCTTCAACCCACAATGTGGGCTGGGCTTGAGTTGCAGTCAGACAATGCAAACAAACAACTTGACGTTCTTCCACGGTAATGGAAAAATCAGCATGCAAGGTGAGGGGGGGGGGGGTAGTATGGAAATGTTGAGAGGCCCAAATTGCAAATAGCAGCCTCTCGGTTCCATGAATACTTTTGAGAACGTTTTCTGATTTCACTGCGCAAACATGAGGAAAAAAAATCATATTTGTTCATGTTAATGGGATTATGCGAGGGCGCCTGTTCATCGAGATGGAAGGAGCACAAAAAAAAGGACACGGGCTGTGTTTGGACTCGCTCGCTCATTTCCTTCTCTCTAATAACTGAGGCGGGCGGACTCACCCCCCCACAATGTCAGCTCCGGCCTCTGCGCACGCCAACATGGCGGCCACGCCGGCGCCGGCCGTGTCATGCGTGTGCACGTGGATGGGCACGTGCGGGAAGCGCTCCCTCAGAGCGCCGATGAGCAGCTTGCTGGATTGGGGCTTGAGCAGGCCGGCCATATCCTGGAATCCAAAGACATACAAAAGCCGCCTCGGTGATCCACTTTGGGGAACTGACGAGACTCATCCCCGAATGCATCTTCCACAGCAAACGAGGTTTCCCACTCGCGCACCTTGATGCAAAGGATGTGCGTTCCGGCTTTGACGAGCTCCTCCGCCAGCTCCAGGTAGTAGCCGAGGGAGTATTTCTGCCTCATGGGGTCCGACACGTCGCCCGTGTACGAGATGGCGGCCTCCACGACGCCCCCCGCCGAACCGGCGGCCTCCATGCCCAGCAGCATGTTGGGCAGGTAGTTGAGCGAATCGAAAACGCGGAAGACGTCCATGCCGTTCTCTTTTGCCACCTCGCAGAACCTGGAGAGAGACGGATTGCGTCGTGGGAACGGTGGTCGCTGCACCAGCGCGAGTACAGAGCAAGCGAATTATATGAACCGTTGCAACCCGTCCAAAAGACATTAAAAAATGACCACCAGAGGGAGACAAAACTCATAAGTCGGACAAGAAGGCGTTGATGATAGTGGTGTGTCTTGCGTTGTTGTGAACATAAGTCTTTGTCCTAACGCTAAAATATAGTGTCTTGTTGCCATGGAGACGACCTTGCTGGCTCCTGAACAGGAATACAAAGCACAGAACAATGAGGGGTAAAGGATGAGAAGGGGCGGTCTGCGGCGTCCGGCAGCATCAATATCAAGGAGATAAAAGGCCAAAGTAACGTTTGTTTTGGGAACGGGCCAACACTAATTTTAGTCAGCATTGAGTCTTTCACCGGAGCTCTCAATGGGCATCACTTGGCCAAATTGGTCATCAATTCTTCCAGGCGAGCTGCCAACTTCTCCACATTGTTATCCAATTTTTAAAGTGTCTCACGAATCGCATTCAGCCGGCGATGGAGTTCAATCCGGTTGACCGCGCGCCAGGGCGCATCAAACATGCCCCGGCAACTTGCTTGATTCCAATAAAACTGCCTGCGTCTTCTGCACTAAATCAGGAAACTGCCGGCTCCGAACGGGAGACGACCCGTCATCATAATTCCAACCTGTTCAACATCCTCCACGGGAAGATTTGACAGGGCTAGCATCTTCCACGCGTTCAAAGAACCTAAAGTAAACAGACAGCAAGTGTTCCTTCTGGACAAACAGGTGCTCCCTTCTCCCCTCTTGTCTTTGAAAAAAAAAAAAATTTGACTGCGTTGAGAGAGCAGCCTACCAGCTGAAGCCGTCAAGATTTCCAGTGAGAAACAGAAACAGGTTTAATTTGAAGACTCAAGACATTTGCGTCTTAAGTCATTTCTCCCCATTGAAATGAATGGAAATGCAATTAATTGGTTCCAGCTGCTCCTACTTTTTCCCATTTATTCAATTCAATTCAACTTTATTTGTATCGCACCTTATCATACAAAATAAATAAATGAAACCCAACAACAAACATCACCTCCACCCACCGAAATAAGGACTATTAATGCCTCCAAACACCGCCCAAAAAAACCCGAGGCTGACACATATGGCTGAGTTTAGGGCAAAGAAACCAATGTGATCTGATCGTGGTCGGATGTTATGCGGTTTGCTGGCGCCAAAACAAGACATGCTATAGATGATGCACTTTCCTAAAAAGAAGATTGCTGCTTATTTCCCATTTGAAATGGCATTAAACTGCTTCCTGCCTCGACAAAACATCAGCAGCTGCACCTCAATGTGAACCTAACCATGACCTGAAAAGCCATCACTTTTGGCTTACTGTGGCATTCTGAGCGATTTTCCATTTATGTGGTCTCACCATTATAACCGGCCCCCCGAGGGTACCAATAACTTTGATGTGACACCCCTGATTTCGAGTAACACAACAAAGATTTGTCGCTCGCAAACACGCGGCGAATAAGTGGCCCTGAATTGGTGTTGTCGCAGATAACGGCGCACATGCGAGTCGGGATAAGCTGTTCAAATCCGTCCATAAAAAGAATGAGTGGGGAATCCTTGCCTTTATTGCGGTGGCTGGCAAACCTAATCAGGTTTGTCAGCACCTGACTGCAGCTGCTTTAACATAACATTTGCACAACGACAGCCATTGTCCCGCTCAACAAACGCGCGCACTTAACAGCGGGCCACAAGGGGATTATTATCAGGCGCTGTGTCCAGTGTTTACACAAGTGCTGGTGCTGCTTGGCATCGTGGCACAAACACGCCGGCGTCCTAAATTTTGTTGCTATTATTCTTGCCCGCGTCAAAAAGCCCCCGCGCCCCCCCCTCATTCTCTCGCCTCCTTCCTCCTGAAGCGACAGCAAGCTCCTCATTAGCGTTGGAGAGCTTGTAGCATGAGCCAATGAAACGCACTTTAAATCAATTAGACACGACGGAATTACACTTTGATTCCATCATGTCGATAGCGCCGCTTTGGGCCATTTCACTTGCAGCCTACAGCAGTTAAAAAAAAAAAAAATTGTCAAGAGAGACAGCGTGAAAGCGGGGATGGAGGCAAATGGCTCAAAGACATTAATCGTAATCGTCTCCCTTTTCAATGGCAGCATAGAGAGAGATGAGAGATGAATGGACGCATAAAAATGAACTATCAGAGGGGATAAATAATCAAATTGCAAGAGGGGACGGGCGGCCACAAAAACATCAGAGAGGACGGGGGAGGTCTGCGTCCATGTGTGTGTGGGCTGCCGTATTAGTCATAAAGTCACTACTAATTTATCTGCACCCGGCGTGTGCGTGTGGAGGGGGTCTTACACCTTGGAGAGTGTGTGTGTGTGTGTGCGGGCATGAGTCACCCATGCCAAGGAGCTGACTAATCAATCTATTTGGGAAAGGGCTCGAGGCGGATAGGACATGTGTTATTTATGGGCCCTCAAATGCGCTACACGGGTGTCAGTGTGTGTCATGTGGTTTGGTGTGGCGGGCACTGGAACTGAAGCACACTCATGTGCTGAAGATGGAGTCCTTGTTGTCTCCAATGAACGGCCCACGAGCTAGCTCCCGTTTTTTTTGGTTTGAAAATTGGAAGCTGAAAACCAAAAAATGAACATTCATCTGATCTTTCTTCATTTGTTTAAAAAAAAAAAAAAAAACACCTGTTGCGGAAGCTAATTCTTAATTCATAAATATTATTTAATATTTTATCCATCCGATCGATCCGTTTTATCCTCACAAGTGTCTGGAGCCGATCCCAGCTGTCTTCGGGCAGTTGGCGCTTAATTCATAAATATTATGTAATATTTTATCCATCCATCCGATCCGTTTTATCCTCACAAGAGTCTGGAGGCGATCCCAGCTTGTCTTCGGGCAGTTGGTGGGGGGGACACCCTGAACCGGTTGCCAGCCAATCACACTCACCCCTGGGGACAATTTTAGAATTTTCAACAAGCCTGCCATGCACGTTTTTGGAATGTGGGAGGAAACCCGAGTACCCGGAGAAAACCCACGCAGGCACGGGGAGAACATGCAAACTCCACACAGGAAGGTTGAAGCTGGAATCGAACCCGGTACCTCTGCACTGTGAGGTCGACGCGCTAACCACCGGGCCCGCCAGGTACAATATAGTCTATCACATTTTTCACATTGTCAAGATAAACTCCACAAATCATGAAATGCGTCCCATATCCACATTTCCAAACCAATTCAAAACCCGAAGATAAATATTTGGGATTTTCACATCTGCTTCCTAATGTGCATAATGTGTGTGTCCTTGTTGTCTCCAATGAACTGCGACGAGCTCTCTCCCGTTTTTCGTTTAAAAATTGGAAGCTGAAAACCGAAAAATGGCCTTTATGATTCCAATAGTGGCGCTCGTTAAAACGCGCAGATGTACCTCGTGGAGTGGCTCTGCAGAACACACACACACACACACACACACACACACACACACACACACACACACACACACACACACACACACA